TTGACAGCATCTAACAACAAGAAGCAGGTCCCACAGATTCCTCCAGGGAACCAATATTTGACCCCGCAGGAGAGTCAGCATGGAGAAACCTCCTAGAGACAGGGAGACAAGGGCAGACCAAGGTCAGCTGAGACAGAGACTCAACAGCAACCAAAAGAAAGTGAAGCCCAGTAAGGAGCCGCAACCCAGCACCACAGGCTCGGAGGGCAAGGAGGACGACGCAGGAGAGAAAGCCATGCCTCTCCACTCCACAAACACAGCCTGGCCTGGGCTGGTGTTACGAGCAGAAAGGCTTTGAATAGGACCTGAGATCTAAAATGGATAGGACTCATCCTCAAAACCCAATAGTGGTGGTTCTAACGTACAAAAGTGACTAGGAAGTGACCGAATTAGGCTGAGATCTTTTCGGTACCCCCTGGCAAATAGTGGTGGCTCAACATAGCAGAGTTGGAAGCAGGCATTGGAAATGCTAAGACTGTCTCATGTTTACATCTCACCATGAAACCAGTGAAGCCGCTCTTTCTTAGCCCCACTGCACACATCCCTTTGCTCCAATGGGATCGACTGAGCCTAGGGGTGTGAGAGTAACGAGTTGTGCTTTGTTAGGCCTAACTCCATATTCTTAAACTAAAACTCCCTATTTTTAGTTAAGATGCCATTTCTTTAAAGCCTGGCTTCAACCCTGTGTTATAATTAACTGTTCTAAGTTACAGTTACCAGTTTCTGCTGCATGCTGTGATCTCAGACAGAGCCTCTGCAAATAAAGGCTCCTGACCCAGACTTCAGGACCGGCCACCTGGGCTTTGACAAACACTAAAGGATCCTCTTAAGGATTACCAGATGGCTGGGGACTCGCAGGAAACATTCCCTTCTTCGTTACCCATTGTCCTATCTAACTTCTGGGAAATTGCTCATTAATCCTGCATACATGCTGTGTCTCTCTTTCCTTTCCTATCAGAATCCCTGATTTTAGGTGCTGAGCAGAGCAGGCATTTTGGGAGTCACTGAGACCCTGTACCTCTCTCATTGATCTTTTTCCCTCTTCTCCATGAACTCTGGTGTGGACTATTGGCTGCGCTTTTCCAGGACCGACCCAGACATTTTGCGAGTAATGGGGAGTATGCCAACAGATGCATGAAGAAACCGGCTGTGCCTTTGGGGTTGGAGAGGGTCCTGCATGCACATTTCCTACCCGGGAAAAATGAGCATCTGAAGGGAGGTCATGACCTTTACTGGGCTCCTTGTAAGTGCCCTGGGTTGGCCCCATGCTGAGAAGGGGTGGAGTCTTCAATGAGGAGAGGGGTTGGCATGACCTAGGGGAAGTAGGGACCTATCAGAAGGGAGGGCTGGTTCCATGTGCTTCTCACCAAGAACAGTGATGGACAGAGGCCTCCCTGGGACTTCTGAAGGCCACTCGAGCAGAGGAGACCCAGGGGCCTACTTCACTGTGACAAGTCCCCAAAACTTTGTAATCCCCTGAAGCTCCTCTGATGCACCCCAACATCAGAGATCACAAAGCCCACAGTCCTTCCCAAGAACCCTACAAATTCCCACTGCCCTCTGCCCATGCCACCTTCCACTGCTCCCTTATGTCTGAATTCTCTCCACCATTGACTGGGGCACAAAGCTTAGTTCTTTGACCAGTTTCTACAAAGATGCAAAGATATAAAACACTCACTCTGAGTATTTTGAGAGTTTAGAAATTTCACTACAATCTGGTGGCAGCCCAGGAGTGGCCTTTGTGACCCACCCATGTCCCAGCATCTCTAGTTCTCCAAGCACTCTGTTCTCTCCCTTCCTCTGTTCCCCCAAACAGAGGTCGTAAAACAGCCCTGTCCAAACCCAAGACCCTTTCACCTCTACCCTAAGCTTCTCAGGGTAAATGCATTTTGCCAAGTAAATTCAGATTCCTTCCTAAGTAGAATTTGGGTGTTACCTAACCATGTATTTCTGTTTTGTGTTGTGATAAATATATTTGTAACAAAACATTTACCACGTCAGTATTCTTCACGTGTGAAATTCAGTGATACAATTATGTTTACCACGTTGTTCAACCAACACCATTGCTTCCAAATTTTGTCATCACCCCAAAGAGAAGCTCAGTGTCCCCTCAGCAGAGTCCCCTCCTTCCACTCCTGCCTGCTCCTGGTGACCACTAATGAAGGGGGACATCTGTACACTTGCCTGCTCCAGACACTATATATACTGGGATCATATACTATTTGTTGAAGTGTGTGTTTCCATTGTTGCTCTTGTTCTTGTTCTATCTCTAAAGACAGGAGGAAAACGTCTTTAAGGGAAAAATAAAAGGAGCTCATGCTTTGTCTCTGAGATTCCAGAAAAGGGAGTGGGGAGAGTCCTGGGAAAGTGACATCTTATCTCTCAGCTACTATAAAACCAAACCACCAACCACTGCTGTCAAGTCGGATCCGACTCATAGCGAACCCTCCTTGGGTTTCCGAGGCGTATCTCTACAGAAGTAGATTGCCCACTCTTCCTTCCAAGGATTGGCTCTTGGGTTTGAACCACCAGCCTTCTGGTTAGCAGTCAAAAGCCTTAGGCGCTAGGCCACCAGAGCCCCCCTCAGCTACTGTGTTGTTGTTGTTGTTGTTGTTCTGTGCCGTCGAGTTGGACCCGACTCATAGCAATCTCTCCTTGGGTTTCCAAGGCAGTATCACTACGGAAGTAGATTGCCCCATCTTCCTTCCAAGCAGTGGCTGGTGGGTTTGAACGACCAGCCTTCTGGTTAGCAGTCAAATGCCTTAGGCACTAGGCCACCAGAGCCCCCTCAGCTACTATAGGTGAGGGCAAAACAAATCCCAGGGAAGAATCACTTAAAGAGGTAGACACGGAAGAAAGCTGAGCCTCTGGGCCCCAACCAAAAGTGGCAAGAGAGGATGAAAGACCTTAAGACTCCAGGGACCCTATAATAAAGAATGGAGGGCAATTGGCCACGGGGCATCGGGGGGGGGGGGTGCGGCCTGAATCCATGAAAGGGTGTGCATCACCATTGGGATCCTCACGCTCTGTCCAATGAAGCAAGGTCACCCTGATTAGGAGGTGTGGACACAAAAGCATGGTACCAGAGAGCATGGGTCTGAACTGGGCCCAGCTGTCCTGGCCTAAGCGTGATTCCAACAGTTAGTGCTACAGAAAAAAGACAACCATGATGACCACAACACGTTCAATATACTTTATTAAAAAGTTTCTTTGTATAAATTTCCTAAAAATTTTAAAATTAAAATTAAACCCCACCCACACTAAAAAAAAAAAAAAAAAAAAAAAACACAACATTACAGGAATGCCAAAAATATTCTATATTATGACTTTGTCAAAATTCTTTAATCATGACATTGGTCCCAACAGTGCACCAAGATTCAGGGATTTTGCTTCCTTCTAATAAGATCATTAGTTACAGGCTTTAAAGGAAGAACGCTAGCTCTAAAGCTAATCCAGGAAGCTGGAAAAAATGGAACAATGGACATTTGTGTATCCACCATACACAGGATTTCCATCTCAAAGGCATGCTTAATCAAGAGCGGGAGAAATGAACCAAGCAAAAGTATACAGATAGCTGTGAGATTGGGGGTTATTTTCTAGACCTTGCAGTCGCCTGAAACAGGCATAACAGGAAACTCCAGAGGGAATTTGAATTTATAGAAATGGTCACATAACTACCAGCAGTGGGTAACTATTACACAACGTTCAAGGTATACAATGTAACTGTCTGGAGACAAAGAGCGTTGAGTCCACAGACACATTTAGCACCATATGATAGTACATGCAGCAGAACATCTCTTCCCAAGTTCGAGTGTAACTCAAAGCATGAAAATGGTACAGTGCAAGGTCATCTACACCCAGAGCTTCTACAAAATAGAGTTGTTGGAAATGGCTGACTCCTTCTTCCTTAAGAGGTATATAATGCTGGTCGGCCACATCTAGGTTCCTATTGCGGTGATGGCTCCTGGTTTGATGAGTGCTGGACGTTAATGGAGGGATGGGCAAGGGAAGAAAGAGGAGGAAGAGAAAAGGCACATTATTGACCAAACAGGAAAAGGACAGCGTGCACTTATCATGGCTCCTTACCTCTGGTTTTCATGGCCAGTCTCATTGTTATGTTCAAATACCTTCCATGGTTCCCATGACCTTCTTGGGTGGTGTTTGAGACTCTGTGCAACCAACCTGAGTCTGTCCTCTCACCCTGCATCATCCATCAGGCCTTTAAGCGATCTGAACTCTCCCCATCCTACTGGCCCCAGGCTCTGGTCAAAGATGGTCTTATTTTAGTACCAATCAATTTGCCCAATATAATGGAGATATTGGATGGTCCCCAGCACCAATATGTGACCCCCACTGGGTTTCCAAGGCAGTAAATCTCTATGGAAATAGATTGCTCCATCTTCCCTCTGCGGAGAAGCTGGTGGGTTTGAACCATCAAACTTCTGGTTAACAGTCAAATGCTTTAGGCACTGCGCCACCAAAGTAAAGTAGGACATATGGTAGTCCTTTATCTTTGGTGTTATCTATGGTTGTTCATTACATTATTTTCCTAATAATTATGGTCAATGCAATAAGAGGGACTTAGTAACATTTCCGAAGAGTGACCTACATAGTTGGCCTGTGTTTCTTCATCAGCAAAAAGCAAGTTCACAGATTTGTTCTTACTTTTCTTATCTGAGGATACAATTCATTTTCTTTCTCATAGTACATCATCATCATCTTATCAAAACCCATACCAAACCCACTGCCATCGAGTCAATTCTGACTCATAGCAACCACCTTAAGGATTCCAGGCTGTAAATCTTTATGGAAGGAGATTGCCTCATCTTCCTCCAGCGGAGCCGCTGGTGGGTTTGAACCACTGACCTTCTGGTTAGCAGCCACGTGCCTTACCCACAGCACCACCAGAGCTCCTTTCATCATCATAAGGCAGATGTTTTTGAGGGTGAATTACTGACCAGAACCTCTAGTATCCAGAGTCATAGACAGGGCTCACTTACCAGGCATGCAAAGCTTCTCACATTCTTTCTGTGAATGGAACCTGTTTTCATTCCCACTGCAGCCTCCGTACCAGAATCTCGCGCAGCTTTTGGTCTCCGAATCATAGTACCATTTTAACACAAATTCTCTACAAGTTCCTTCTTCTTTTGGCAACTTGCATATATCTTGAATAACAAGACAAGAAAAGAGCATTAAGTAGAACATGCAACTCACTCCACGTCCAGTGTTAGGGGCTCCAGGCTGCTCACAATGCTGTTGGAGAAAGCAAAGGGGAGAGAGTTTCCAGGTAGAGCATCCTGTCTCTTAAACTCTCCAAGCCTCAGTTCCTCATTGACTAACAAACGTAACCACATACAAGCCTTACGAGCGATGCATACAATCATGTCAGTGAGAGTTTTCATCAACTGCGGATAGCAACACAAACGTTAGCTATCCTGATTGGATAATTAGACGTGAAATGAACTGGTGTCTCCCTCTGTTTGATCACCGGCCTGTTTACTTTCTAATTCTTTCCATGCTAACTCCCAGACAAGAAACTGCATTTCAAAACCTCAGAGTTATCTACTCCTTGGGAAAAAATGGCAGTTAAATCACGTAGAAATGAGGTTCAAAAATGAGGCTGTGTGTTCTGCCCCAGGCCAGGAAAATGAAAGTGGAAAGGGAGAGTCCTTTATGAGCGGTTCGTGCACGTGTGTGTGCGTGCACATGTGTGCATGTAGCTGAGCGCCTCATGGCCTGCCAAATTAAACAAGAAGTGAAAAGAGTGGCTAACACTGATTAAGTTTCATGAAGGCAAAAACATCACACAGCAAAGCTATGTTGAAGGTAGAGAAGCCTCTTCTTCCAGTGAAGGAAGTTCATGTTTTAAATGCACACTTGTGACTGAGACCTGCTGCAAAGGAAGCACTAGTCTCCTCGGTGCCTGGAAAGAAAGGTTCACAGCTCACACATAGTAAGACTTGTGTTTACAGAGCTTTCTGGTAAACCCCAGACTGTCTGGGAAGGAAAGGCATTGATGGCGACCATTATCCGGAGATTGGAAAAACATAAACCACCTATCACTAAAGCTCCCTCACGGGAGCTGGAAATATTTCATGTTCCCATGAGTGGCTGACATGCAGGGATCACCCCACCTCCCCCATTAAAGGGATACGGTCTCCACCTGTCCTTATCCTCAGCAACGCCAGGCTGCTCACAGCTACACAGGTGGTGAACATCTGCAGTCCTGATTGATACCAAAAAAGGCCAACCTCGGTCGTGGAGGTACCAAATCAAAGCTTGAGCCAGCCATGTGAGCCGGCCCCAAAGGGCCACAGGACTGAGGGCCCAGAACAGGACTCACACACTCCATGGGTTCCCACGGGGAAGCCACCACCCAACCATGAAGGTGGTGGATGTCTCCCTGCTCCGTCTCCTCGCTGCAAATCCTCAGAGGCTCACAAAGGCCAGCGGTGTGACCAAGAGGTTTGGAAGACCCAATGAAGCCAGGATGAAGTTGACGACAAGCAAGGAGGACAACTTCCTTTCCGTCCAATGTGCCAATAATAGAAGGAAACCACTTCCTTTCAAGGAGCATCAGGAGGGAACCAACAAGTCAAGGTCAGTCAACCACCAAAACGTACTCCTTGTTTATTAGTGAGTTTCCCCATTCGCGGGAGCCTTGCCTCACTCCAGCCCTCTTCTTCCCTCCCCAGGGCATACCTTAGAGGGCCCATGTTTGCTCAACTGTATTTGTTCCAGTGTACTTCAGTTCTGGACATCCGTGTTTAGCTAGCCAGTCCCCATGTCCTTGGGCTCTTCTGACCCGGACTCCACAAGCCAGCCCAGACACAGAGACACCCAACTGACAGGCACCACTGCAGGGAATGCTGCACTCCCAAGGCTGACTGGCTTCTCCTGCTCTTTGGGTTTTCCTCTAAACCATCCAGTACCAAATGGCTGCACTTGCATGTTGCACCCTTTATTCCAGAAGGTCATCACTAAGACCCTGTAAGGGTGCTCAATGGAGTATAAGGACACTCTTCCTATGGACAAACAGACTTCTGACCATGCAGAATGATGCATAGGAGCCCAAGGGGCTCCAAGACAAAAGCCTGGGAGTCTCTATTTCTGAAGCATATGAATGGGAAATTTTATGTTCTTAAGGAGCCTTGTAGCTTCTTAATTCCATAGCATCTTGGCTGGACTCTCCTAAGCCGTGTCTATATACACTGAAACAACTGTTTGAGGTCAAAAAAGAGAAGTATAAGTTCCCTGCAGTCCAAAGAGGGATGATTGCACCCATGGAGCTTAATGTGGGTCTTGCCCAGCACAAAGTCTTTGGACACAACATTCCTCATGTTTTCCCTCCAACACGAGCTTGCACCGTTGGGACAGTCTTTGACCACACAGACTTTAACCTCCTCTTCTTTATGTGGTGAATCTAATGGAAGCCTGTAAGATTGTAAGAAGTGGGGATTACCAGTGAACACTGCTGGTTTCCTTTTTGCCTACAAGTATCATTCACAGCAGTGCAAAGAGAGACTTTTAAAGTTCTGCCTGATTCCAGTCACCATCTGGTAAAACACCTGGTGTTTTCTCTCAATATTGGCCAAAGGACTTCGGTGAGCATCCAAATGAGAAACGGGAAATGCATGCACATGCATTGTCTGGCTAAGACCCTGCTCAGGGAAGTCACAGAACCAACCCAGAACATCCTAAAGCAACAACAGTGGCCTGGAAGGCACCCCAAGAAACACGCCCCATTTTTTTAAGAAAGATGTGTGGGCACGTGTGTGCATAAAGTCAGTAGTTGCAGGCACCAGTGACCATCGGTGCTACAACAATGGGGATCACATGTCCTTACTTATATTTCCTGTGTGTTCTTAATTCCTCACAATGAACATCTATTGATTCTGTAATCAGGAGATACTATTTAGTACTCTTTGAAACAGAAAACATGGTGAATTGGAAAATGTCTCCTTTTTCTGGTTTGAGATTTTCATCGCGTGGAGAAGCATTTGCAAAGGTATCAGCTTTGACATTTTCCAAACCAGCAGGTGAGGGTTTCCTGGAGTGAGACGAGGCACTGTGCAAAGCGTTAATGCCGCAATGGTGAGTCCACTCCTCAGCAGTTTAATGGTTCCAAAACCAAGAAGGTTTAATGGCCTTCGGGCCTGGCTTTGTTGACAGAGTATAAAAGGGTTCCAAACCTTGAAAGCGTGTACAATTTGCTTAAATGAAAAAAAAAAAAATGTTCCTACGTCTACTTTTTCAACATATGATTGGCTTGAAAAGTACCAAGGAAACTTTTTGTATTTTTAACCTTATTTTAAAAGTCACTGTGGTTAAGTTTTGGATCCTTTGCTTTTTCACATCTTGACTAACAGCTTTTCTTTTTTTAAGACTTTTGTATGTTACAGTTTAAAAAAGGCCAGATAGGCTTTGAGGATCATAACAACCCAAACATGGCAACTGACACAAATGTGTTGTCATGCAACAGTAAACAGATGGTCTTAAGGATGGCTGCTTCTCCTGACCCAAGTAGAGCAAATATTTGCAGCTAGTTAATTGACTTCAACCTGTGGGGCTAAGTTAATTCTATACATTGTTATTAGCATAAAGTCAGGTCTTTTCCCCATGACATTATATTGTGCTAACCAAGCATCTACCTTTGCTTGGAGTATCGTCAACCAACTACTGCCTTTCATTAACTCTGAGACATCTGCACTTTATGAGGCCCATCATCTGTGTTCCGCTGAGTGACACCAGCACAGTGAACAAGTCATGACACGTCATCAACTGTCAGCTACATTGGAGCTTCAGACACGTTATAACAAGAAAAATGGTCCATCTTAGAGTCAAAAACGAAGAAATAAGTTGGTGAGCTTATTTCTAGCAGAGCTAAGTATGTATAACTGACCTGGTAACATGTGCCTGTATAAAATACTGTGTCCGGCTCTCAAGGAGCTCTGGTGGGGGAGTGGTTAAAGCATCCAGCTGCTGGCCAAAAGGTCGATGGTTTGAACCCATCAGCTGCTCCACAGGAGAAAGATGAGACAGTCTGCTTCCATAAAGATCTATACCCTTGGAAACCTCGTGGGGCAGTTCTACTCTGTCCTAAAGGGTAGGTTTGAGTCAGAATCAATTCTGTGGGAGAGGGTTTGGTTTTGGTTTGGTCCATTTCTTCCAATGGCTAATTTCTACAATATGTAAAAAAGAATTTTATGCATTTTGTGAATTAATTTGGCAATTCTGAACATCAAAACTCTTCTTCAGCGTGGAACCCTAAGCCAATAATTTAGGATTTATTTTGTCATAACACATAAGGTACATTTTCTGAGTCAGTTTTACACACACGCACACACACACACACACACATGAAATGGTGAGAGAACATGCAAGCCCATGAGTTTGAGGGTCAGGTGCCAATCAGTATAGAAGAGAGAGGGTTTAAGTTCATCTAGGTCAAACTACTTGGAGCCTTGAAAGAAAACATGAATCCCATTTTTTAAAAACTCTCATCTTTATCAGATGGAGAGAGGAGAGGAGGTCAGGACTGAAAACACACTGCTATTTTTGTGCTTTGTGACCCAATACTGAGAAATGAAACAATATTAAGAAATAGCAGATGCTTGTGTGAAGATAGGCTTGTTTATATCAACTGAACATTGTTTATATATCCTTGTTCCTTTGCGATCACAAGTAAGAAAGTCAAAGACAGTCCCAAATCGTGCTGTCTCATTGACTCCAAGTCATTTTCTTTCAATGAAGCATTGAATTTTCTAGAAATGTCCCATTTCTTTTGGGGTACAGACCTGTGTCTGTGAATGGGAAAGCATATTCACAGATTTCAGTGACTCTGAAACCAGGCTTGCATCTGTCCTGATTCACATCTGTGGAGAACTTCTAGAATGTTCTATGGCTCAAGCACATGGTTTATGTGCTCAAGCACATGTTGGGGCAGCCTAAGGGGCATTACGCCATGAGGGAAGCTTAACACAGTACTCCAGGAGGGGGGCTAAGTGAGTTAGAAACCACAGTCCAGCACTTCAAGGGACAAAGGCTTATCTGTGGGCCCCCAATGGACGCTCAGAAAACCGCTTATGAGCAGGAATCAAGAGAGTGGAGACTTAAGCTTTCTTCTCCACCCCAACCTTCACTCCACAACCTTACTTCTAATTTATTTTTTATTTGAGTTGAAAATCATAACATTATAAGTTTTTATAAAATCTTTTTACACAATCCCTAAGGACTTAAAATCTAGTTACCCAATCCACCATAAAGTGCTAAACCATCCCTATAAATTATATAGAGAGAATTTTCTATCAATATTTCCATTAGAAAGGAGGAGGGGTTTGAAAAACATATGGCCATCTGTAATATAGACTAATTCCTAAACTCGCTCCCAAAAGCAAACCATTTCTAACCTTTTCCAGTTCCATAGGCAATTCATTTATTTACCCTTATGGCACAATGATGTGTACAAGTTTTACAGTTTCTACACTGACGCGGTTACCTTCTTTGTGGTAATGCCTGATGCCTCATACTGGGCTGAGGGGTGGTCCTACCATTCATGTGGCTGCTGTTTGTGGCCTCTGAGTTGGCTCCCACTCATGGCCGTCTTGTGGGTGAGAGATCTTCGCGCAAGTTCTGCTAGATGAGGGACTCCAGGTGTCTCACCAATAGCAGCCCTCCACAGCCCAGGAACAAAGGCAGTAGCATTGGTCAAGCCCCAAGTTATGCCCAACTGCTCCCTGATCCAACATGGAAGGTGTCCAGATGCTCTGGGGCTCAGGCACCCAGGTGGTGGGATGAGAGACTGAATGGAGGTGTCCTTAGGGATTGGGACCGAAACGCCCATGGGTCACATCCCACAGTCTCTATCACGGGTTCCTATGTGAGTTGCCTTCTAAGCTGTTTTTTATTAGATTAAATTACTGGGTGGATAAAACCTCACTCTTCTTAGCATTGCAGACCACAAGTCAACTCCAGGCCCAATCTGGGGCAGAAGGGAAATGACTCATGAGGACACAAACTGCCGGCTACAGCCCAAAGGCAACTCCCAGCCGGTTCCCCTCAAGAGCTGGTGATAGCCAAGGTAAGTGGCCGTTGCCACTTGGAACGTGCAGAATAAGACTACACTGGCCACACAGACACGAATTAGAACTTTCCCCACAGAAGGTATGCCCAGCCTGGGACTTAGAACTCAGTTGGATGACCGAGACTCAAGATGTCAAAGGTTCTACCATGCTGTAAGAATACATCTCTCAGGGCCAGTAACAGACTTAATATCCTCAGAACTCACCTGTCTCCGTCCCAACCAAAGGCTCGGTGTTCACCATTAGATTGATGGTTGAACTAGAGGCTGACCTTGCTGCTTGTAGAAGTGGAGGCTGGGTTTTCTCTATAAAGGAAAAACGGATGCAACTAGTAAGTAAATCAGAAATGAAAGGGCTTAAGAACCCTTAGCAAGTGATGCAACTTTGCCCCCCATGGGAAGTGCCTTCCACGGCACAGAGACCTGAGAAGTCTCCCCAAGTCTGTGGTCTGCAACTTGAGGCCATCCGTTCACACAGTGAGGACTCCTGACCAAGTCCTCCCTCAGCTCCTACACACTCTTTTCTGCTGCCATGAGACGAAAGGGAAGCCTGGGTTTGGATGGGTCTTTTGGACTCATACCTTTACAGGCAGACTCCACAGTGACCGGTGGGAATTCTCTACATAACACTGGCCCAGAGAGGGGAGAGGAAGTGAGTTTCCCCTCTGCATTCTAGGAGCAGTGGGGGTCCAGAAGAATGTGAGGGGGGTCCAGAAAGAAGAGAAAGGAGGGGCCATGAGTAATTAACCAAGGCTGGAAGAGAAGCCCAGGGCAGGGCCCCATGGAGCAGAGGAGCCCATGAGACAGCAGGTGGCGGGGGACAGAGTTAGGGTGTGGTGGCATCACGGAGGGGAATGTGAATGTCCTCTCTGCAGTGCAGTGGATGCCCCAGGGCCCCTGGGGCAGGGAGACTTCCCCAACTCCTCCCTCAGGAGGTAGTGAGTCTCGGTGGTGGTTTCTACTTCCTAAACGTGCACACCCTTAGGACACACGGACCAGGTGGTGGGCAGTGAGGCCTCTAGCCAGGCTGCTGCTGCTGTCCTTGGGTCGCCTGACTCGTGTGACCCCACACACAACAGAGCGAAATGCTGCCCCATCCCTCCACCCCCATGATCAGCTGCGATCAGACCATGGTGCTCCTTGGGGTTCTCAAGGCCTGGCTTCAGAAGACCCCCAGGCATCCTTCCCAGTCCATCACAGTCTGGAAGCTCCAATGAAACCTGTCCAGCATCACAGCAACCCACCAGCCTCCACTGGTAGATGGGTAGGGGCTGCACGTGAGATGCACTGGTGGGAATCGAACCCACGTCACCCACATGGAAGGTGAGAATCCTACCACTGACCCAGTGGGCCCTCATCCAGCAAGGTTAGCAGGCACATTGGCCCTGGTGCTGTGTGGCACAAGGTCGTACTCAGGGCAATGTGTGCCAGTGCCACAGGGCAGGCACCCCTGCACATGCAGTCAGTCACCTTTTCCACTCTGTTGTTTATAACGTTGGCTATAACCAAGCCTCTTGGTTCTTAACCCAGCTGCTCTTTCGGATTCAGAAAATCGGCACTGCTCCCTCTGTCCCACTGACACCCTGGGTAGAACTCAGGGGCGAGACTTTCAAGCCAACCGTATACTCACTTGTGCTGAAGCTGCCTTGATAGGTGGCTCTGAGCTGAGACCTCAGGTAGCAGACCACAGACACGTGATAGACCTGCCCAGCGAGCAGACCTCCGATGACGCGCTCCGTGCCCGTGAGGTTCTGCTTCAGAACCAGGGTCTGATCCTGGGCTGACGTGACAGTGAGGTCATAGACGTACGGACTGGGGGGCTCAGGCCTGTCCCAGTGGAGCTTGGCGCTGTTCTCTGTGATGTCAGACACGTGGATCTCACGGGACACCCTCACTGCAGGATAGATGCAAACAAAGGACTCAGAAGAGAGAACAAGTAGGCTCTAAGTGACTAGAACACAAAGCAAGAGAAGGAATCTAAAGTGAGAGGCAGGAGACAGTTGCTTCCAACATGCAGACGAGGTCAAGGACTGACTTCTCACTCAAGCTCCTAAGAAACACTGGTTCCTGCAAGTTAACAAACACCACGGAACATGAATCCTTAGTTCCGAGGATATGAGTGTTCAGAGGATGGTGCACAGCCACCATGAAAGGAGGTGGGTCTGGCCACAGAGCCCGAGCAGAGACACCTGCTTCACCCGGGGGCACGTTACCCAACAGCAGAGGAAGCACGAGCTGACTTGTGCTTACTTCCTAGTCTGTAGTGAACCGCGTCACATAGGCTCCACCACACCTTTGGTTCGTGAACCTCTTCACTACAGATTAGGAAGTAAGCACAAGTCAGCCCCTGCTTCCCTTGCTATTGGTATTTGTCCCTGTCAGGACTGTCCATTGGAAAGAGGTTTTGCTTCTGTACAAAGGTGCTGCGGGGTCAGGAGAGAGACAGAAGCCAGCCATCCCTAGAAGCAGAATCTCTGATGAGGGGAAGACATATGAAACTGTTCACTATAGATTAGTGAGTAAGCACAAGCTAGCCCGTGCTTACCTGGCTTATTGGATTCTCCAACACTGGCTTCACCCCAAATAAGTGCAGTACAGACTTTTTCTTTCTTTCTCTCTCTACCCCCCAAAATGAAACCTAAACCCCTACATCTACTTACAACCTCAGCCCTTCAGCTAAAGGCACTGGATTTCCAGGGCCAGCGCCCCTGCCCCTCCCACCCCTTCCCAGGGCAGGTGCATGGCGTGGGGGTGGGGGGCTGGAGGAAGCAGCCTGCTCTGTGCGTGGGACGTGCCAGCCTCACCGAGGGTCACGGGGAACGATCACTTTCTAATACATGAAGACAGCCCTTTAGAATAAAGATTCACAAATACCCAGTCAAGGACGTCTTTGGTCTGCTTCGTAAACAAGTGGTTCAGTGCTCAGCTATTAACTGAAAGACAGAAGATCAAATCCATCCAGAGGCACCTCAGAAGGGCCTGGTGACCAAGTTGTGAAGCTCACAGCCACTCGGGACCCTGTAGAGCCCAGGGCTTCTCTGACACACGGAGGCGCCACGCATCCTAATCGACTCCATGGCAACCGGTGGCTGGTTTCATAAACAGGCCTGGAGTTCCCAGGTGGTGAGAACCATTCAAATGGTTGGCTGCTTAACTGAAAGGCTGAAAGGTCAAGGTCATCCAGTGGCTCCTCAGAAGAAAGGCCTTCTTCCGCAAACTCAGCCACTGAAAACCCTAGGAGCCCAGTTTTACTCGGACGCACATGGGGTCACCATGAGTACAGGTCCTCGTCACAGCAACTGGCAGGTGTATGAACGGACTTCTGGGACACACCCTTGAAGCTGGAAAAGAGGACACAAACCACGACAACCGTAAATGGCCTTTCTTACCCCCAGGCTTGGTGATGACTGGCTTGGTGACAGGTGGTTTGGCTGCCTGTGGCCTCGTGGCTTCAGGTTTTGTGGCTGTGGATTTGGCGATGGCAGCGGGTCTGGCAACGGCGGCGGGGTTGGCCACAGAGGCAGGTTTGGCGACAGCGGCAGGATTGGCCATGGCAGCAGATTTGGCAACGGGGGCAGGATTGGCCACAGCAGCGGGTTTGGCCACAGTGGCGGGATTGGCCATGACAGCAGGATTGGTGGCAGCCACAGTTCTGGTGGCGGTGGCCGCGGGTCTTATGGGGGCTGAGGGCTTTGCGGCAGCTTGCTTCGAGGCTGCAGGCTTCACTGCGACTGGCTTTGCCGCAGCCACTGGTCGCGCAGTGGCTGTCTTAGGCACCTCGGGCTTGGCAGCCACAGGCCTCACAGGGACTGGTTTTGCAGGACGCACATTTATAGTTGCCGGTTTTGTCGTTGTGGTCACCGGCTTCGTTGTGGTCACCGGCTTCGTTGTGGTCACCGGTTTCATTGTAGGATTTGAGGTAACATTATTTGGCATGTGTCTGTTAAAACAAATTAAATATTCAGTTTACTCATACAAATCTCTGCCTGCTTTCTAAGTAAGAGACCCCTGGATGGTGCAAAGGGTCAACGAGTCAGACTGCTAACTGGAAGGCTGGAAGTTATAGTCCATCCTGAAGGACTTCAGGCAGAAGGCCGGCCGATCCATGTCTGAAACATCAGCTGTTGAAAACCTTACGGAGAACAGTCCACCCTGACACACATGGTCACTGTGGGTTGGGGTCAGCTCTGCAGCAACTTGTCTCTGGGTTGATCAGAAACAGACAAAGAAAGAGCCCCCCGAGCTAGAGCTAGCCAAAATGTGCTGTTTGCACAAAATCTGTGCAGACTAGAGTGGTTTTCTGTATTCAGTATTGTATATGTTCCGTGTATGTTCAGTCCCTTCCCTTTACGACCTGTGCCAACCGAGATCTGTTGAACAACATGCGGAAGCAGAGAAGCATCCCAAGTCAACCCTCCAGGGTATTAAAGGGAGCTCTGGTGGTATAGTGCATAAGGCATCTGACTTACAGAAGGTTGGTGGTTCAAACCCACCAGCCACTCCTCAGAAGGAAGATGGGGCAATCTCCTTCCATAGAGATACAGCCTCAGAAACCCAAGGAGGGGTCGCTATGAGTCAGATCAACACAACGGCAGTGAGTTTGGTTTGGTTTGGATATCAAAAATACACTTGCCATCTGATTTTCAATTTATGAAATAAAGGCCGGGAGAGAGTAAAAGACAAGATAATAAACGGTAATATTTGAATAATGTTCTAATTTTGAAAATTAACCATCTGAAATACATACCAACAATTAGGAAATATCTATTAATAGCAACTTACTGTAAAACAAGACCCACTCAAGGAAGTGTGCTGGGTTGCAAAAGTCCTGGCATAAAGCCAGTATCCACTGGTTCACGCTCAAAGCTACTGGGTGGATGTGTGTATATTTTCTTGTTTGTGTTAAATTTTGTGTTTTTGTTTTGTTTTTAACCAAAAAAAAAAAACCACTGCCATCAAATCGTTTCTGACTCATAGCGACCCCTCCTTGGGTTTCTGAGGCAGTATCACTACGGAAGTGGATTGCCCAACCTTCCTTCTGAGGAGTGGCTGGTGGGTTTGAACCGCCAGCCTTCTGGTCAGCAGTCAAATGCCTTAGGCACTATGCCATACTACGCCATGAGAGGAATTCTTAAGACAGTACCAACATAAATCAGAGTACGGGACAGACCCCCTCAGCCCGTGTTGTTCTCGGATGACACAGCAAGCTGTAACTACACACCTAGTGTGGTTTCAAGTTGGAATCATAAAACTTCAAATGCTAGGTTCCTCCCATCATTTGGTTTTCCTAAAGATATGGTGGTTGATTGAGCCAATGCTAGGGAATGTTCTGGGAAATAAGAAGGATGATGAAAGGCTAGAGCCTCTGAGCCTGGATCAAGCAGGACTGGCATCACCCAGACAACGGCCACAGCTACCTTAGTGATGACTCTCAGACTGAACCCTTCCCTCCAAGGGCAGAGGCGAGAGCTGAAGCACCCTGGGGTGAGAGCAAGGAAGGTTTGCAGGAGGCAGGGGTGGGCTCTTTCCCCAGCCTGCAGGTCTCCCAGGAGTAAATCAGATGCTCATTTTTCCAAGATCATTAGAATCCACATCTCATCAGAGTGTGATAATCAGGACCTCTACTTCAGACAAAGCCCAGCACACCGGGCTTTGTTGTGGTCACCGGCTATGATGTCTGGCAGAATCGGTACCAAATAAATAGTAATTGATTCAATAATTAATTGGTTTAGTTCTTTAAGCAATAGCAGGGGCACTTGGCCTCTCCCAAGGCCAATCCTCAGTCCCTTGAGGGGCACACATTGCCAACACCTTGCTTGAGCTCACTTCTCACCACTGTGTCCCCCACCCAGACCCCTGTCACACAGCCACATGACCCTCCTCTGTGCTACGGCAGTGGGCAGCAAAACTGGAGCTGGAAATGAGGGCACTGAGCAGATGACAGGCACTTGCATCGCTGGGGACACCGCAGCCCCAGCCCATCTGCACACTCTCGACTGTCTTCCTAGAAGACCGAGAAGCTACCAGAGCACTCGGGGAGGCACCCTGCTGTAATGATCACAGAGTTAACAGTTGTACGATCTGGAGTCCATTGTGTGCTTAATGGAGCCATTTGTCCACTGCACACGAGACAGGGTCAATCAATCATTTGCACAGGTGGCTCCAGGTGTGCACACTCACTGTCCCTATGCCCTTTACGAGGTGTTGTTACAGGTCCTCCCATCCAGTCCAGCTCCCCACCCTTGAATCTAAGCCAACCTTGGGAGATGCTTTGGTCAATAGAACGTGGCAGAAGGAACCGAGTGCCGACTCTAGCCTAGGCCTCCAGAGGCCTTGCACGCTTCCGCCTTCTCTCTTGAAACCCTGCGTAGTCACCTTGTGAACAATTCCAGGCCCAGAATGAGAGACCATGTGAGCAGAAAGGAGCGATCCCAGCTGACACCATCCCAGATCAGCAGCTGGAGCCAACATAAAAGTGAGTCCAGCAGAGACCAGAAGAACCGCCCTGCTGAGCCCAGCCAAAAATTACCAACCCACAGAAATGTAAAATAAATAAATGACAACTCTTTTAAGCCAGTACATTTGGGAGAGTTTGTCATGCAGCAAAAACTAACTGATAACGACAGATACTTTGTAAATACTAACATACATGGCCTTTGGGAAGCCATGTTTTCTGGGTCTCACCCAAAAAGTAAGGGGCTGGTGAGAAGACTTCTGCATGCCCCCAGCCTGCAATTTCTGATCCATTGTTTACAATCACTTACACTTGTTTGTGCCCAAACTTCACGGAATTCTTTACTGCTTGGTCCCCTTGGAACCAATCACACTGTTTTCTGATGTCTGGGGACAAGTAAAAAGCATTTTCACCTGGGGAGAAATGGGGAAAAACACGTTAACTTCATATGAACCACACACAGATTAAAATCAATCTGCTGAGTTAACAGATCACTGAGAAGGTGACCCACAAACACTAGTTGGATTCATTAGTGATTTTAAACAACAGTACGTATTATGATTCCTGGTATTATGAATACCTGAAGCCAGTATCTTCTATCTGGTGATAGATGAACCACTAGGTTAAAGATAATATTTACCCAGCATGAGGAAGAGACAGGAAAAGAAGAAAAAGCAAGTGGCCATTTGAACAGGTTCCAAGCCTTGAATACCAAATTAAATCAATGACCCTGGGTAAACACGCTGACTTATCTCTGTTCCACATTTTTCCCCGATTCTTTTGAGGAATAGGTCTTCACTGTTTTGGTGGATCTCAACATTCTGCTGAATCATAGACTTTGAGGAAACCAAACCCAACCCACTGCCATAGAGTCAATTCCAACTCACAGCACCCCTAGAAGACAGAGTGGAACTGCCCCATGGGGTTCCCAAGGCTGTCAATCTTTGTAGAAGCAAAGCCTGAACCAAACCCACTGCTGTGGAGTCCGTTCCAACTCACAACACCCCGAGAAGACAGGAAACTGCCCCCAGAGGATTTCCTAGGCTATAATCTTTATAGAAGCAGACTGCCACAGAGCAGCTGGTGGAGTCAAACCACTGACCTACCAGATAAGAACTGAGTGCTTAACCACTGTGCCACCAGGGCTCCTCAGACTTTCGGTATACCTATGTTTATTTATTCTTTCTAAGTTCCCCTCATTTGTTCAATACGTTTCCTGCCTGCTCTGGGTCATGTCCTCTAATGGGACCTGGGGAATAAACGAAACACCTCCTCAAAGAGCCTCCCAGGACCATAAACCCATCAAGGAGTGGGCACTGGACCACAGGAGAGAGCCTGGGCTCATGGTCATACAGCATCCAGATCCATGCGGAGGAGGCCTTAGGATTGGGCACATCCACACTGAGCAGGGGTCGGGGAGCTGGGCTTTGAAGATGAAGGCGGATTTGCCGCTCGAGCAGGGGTAGAGAACACTCTGCAGGAAGAGCATCGTGCTGGTAAAGGCCCAGAAGGGTCCAAGCATAAGGGTTGGCGGCTAAGCCCAAGTCCACACATTAGGTCTCGCACATTCTCCGCGTGTGTGACCCAACCGCCCACCTGGATCTAACGGTAACTGTCATGTGACAATTGCATTGCTTCATCCCTGGGACATGCCCAGGTAAATTCAGCTGAACAAACCAGTGAATGAGGACCGGGACTTATGTCTGTGTCCTTCACAGCTGTCTCTGGCTCCTAAGAGAGTCTGGCACATAGTAGGTGCTCATATATTTGCTGAATGAATGAATTACCATCAGCACATTAATTGTCCTTTCCACGCCCCCCATCCCCACTGGCCCAAGGGTGCGGTCGCATAACAACCTGGCCAAGGCCTCGCCCCGACACAGACTTACTGCTGACAAATGAAGGCAGCAACCTTCCAAAGCGCATCAAAGGCTCCTCATTGAGCTCAGTCGACTGGTCCACAAGCTTGAAGAAGACATCATTTGGCTCGCTGGCAAAGCCGTACACCTCCTTGATGTTCACCTTCCGGCCAATGCTCAGAATCACGAAGAAGTAGCCCTTGCATTTAGCCAGCAGGATGGCTCTCTGAGCCTCCTCTAGCTCTTGTTTCTGCACCTCACCCGTCAGCATCAGAACCACGATTTTCAGGTCCCGTGGGTTTGGTGCACTTTCAAAGATGTTCTCTATGGTGTATTCAATGGCACTACCCAAGGCCCGGGTGCCCTGCAGCTGGGTCATTTGACTGCTGAGGAACTCCACCAGGTTCTCCTTGGAGCTGTAGTCGGTCAGGGAGAAATCCACCCTCACAGGCGGCACACTGGCGTTCCCCACGGATGCATAGGGTGCATGCTGCACCACTGCCACTCTTGTGAGGTGCTGGGAGGCCTTGGGGTCTGGGCTCATGTCCAGCTGTCTGACCAGGTATGCGATGTACTTCTTCATCTCATTGAACTGGAACAGGGTGGTCGAATCAGAGCTGTCTAAGATGAAAGCCATGTCGATGTCTACGTCACTGCCAGCTGCCCTCCTGTCCCTGAACACTGGCCTCCAGCTGCCAAATCCACAGGACGGGTCAATGTTGCAGATGTCTGCAAAGAAGCATGGCAACCTGTTATTCTGTGAATCCCACAGGGGCTACTACACACCAATCTGCTGGGAATCTGAGGCCACTGAAACGGTCATATGATACAGAAAGTATTTATGTCTTGTGGAATAGATCCATCTTAGAAAAAACACAGCTAGAATGCTCCTTAGAAGCAAGGCTGGTGGGACTTCCTTGCTCCATTACTTTGAATCAGGGCTTCAAACTGGATTAAACTGGTATAGTCATAGCTGACAAAGAAAAAACAAAACAAATTTAATTTTTTGAAATTTGATGAGGAATGCTAACCAGCATGGAAAAAATTACAGGTCAAAGCCCAGGAATTGGACACTTGGAAGAGGAGTAGTGAGCCCTTTCTATAGCCTGATGCAGGAGACTGGATTACAGCCAGGCCTGTAGAGAGCGACATTCATCCCAAGCATCATGGTCGGCCGCCATCTTTGAACCAGGTACTACTGTTTCAGCACCATTGCTTTCAACTCAGCCAGTCAAATGACTTGGTTGCTAGGCAACATGCATGCTGCCCTTGTTTTCTAAGAGGGGAGTTTGGTTTTTAGCAGGGTGCTGTTGTTGTTGTTGTTACGTGCCGTTGAGTCAGACCCAACTTATAGCGATCCCTTCTTGGGTTTACAAGGCAGTATCACTACGGAAGTAGATTGCCCAACCTTCCTTCCGAAGAGTGGCTGGTGGGTTTGAACCACCAGCCTTCTGGTTAGCAGTCAAGTGCCTTAGGCACTAGGCTACCAGAGCTTCCTTTAGCAGGGTGTCAATCTGTAATTTTTCCCCATTCTAGTTAGTGTTCTGGTTCAGCTGTATTTTAAAAATTCAGGTCTGTGCTTGAACCAACTGAACCAGTGTGAAGCCCTGCTCTAAACATGTCACCAAGAGAGACTTATGGCTGGAAAAGGACATCACATTTGGCCAAAAAAATGAGGGAAACCGTCAGTGAGCTGGATCGACACCCCAGCCACAGCACTGGACTCAATCCTATCCCTGATCATGAAGACGACCCAGGGCTGAGCAATGTTTGCTTGTTGTACATAAGGTCACCCAACACAACTGACACAGCAAAGCCACCACGGTGACCAGATTTCAATTCCCACCACTTACTAGATGAAATAAATCTTAAACTAAAATCCCTGGCAATAAAAAAGTAATAATAACTTTAGTTCTTTGCTACTCTTTGAAGAAACATGTTCTAGAAAAGCCATTAGAACCAGACATTTAAATTCTGGACTTCAAGGTAAAAATGTCAGCAAAGCCCACCTTATTTTTGGTTACTTATAAAACTAATTGTCCCCCATCAGTGAGAGGGTCTATTTGGAGGATCCTTTTCAAATATGGAAATGACTTGTATAGCAGCTACACGGGTAAACACAAGGCTTCATTAATCTTAATTTAACTCCAGCTCTTCAGACAGGTCATAATTATTCACTGACAAGTCTCTGTATGGATATCACCTATTGCAATTGCAACTGGGCAAAGAAACGCCTTACCCAGGCAAACGTGACAAGTCAGGACATTCTTCAAGAAGTCAGTGAGGTCCCTCTGAGTGGGAAGAACAAGCACATGTCCCACCGCAGTGTTGTTGATCTGGTTTACACAAAAGGAAACAATTGGTAGGACACACAGGATAAGTAATTATGGGACAGTACAGCTGAGGAATAAATCAGAGTCATTGCCATAAAATAAACTTCAGGATAGATGAGTGTCTTCTAAGTGTGGTTTGCTTTTGCTTTGCTTTGGATTTCTCTTTTTTTTTTTTTTTTTCTTTCAAGGGGGAGGGTTAGTGGAGAACACTGAGTATAACAGAAAAACATAGGCTTTGTTCTGATGAAATGAAGAGAGTTCAAGTCCCTCTTGTACACTTTCTGCTTAAGCTGCAGCAAAATTACCCAACCTCTCTGAGCCTTGGTTTTCTCATCTGTGAAATGGGCATAATGGTACCTTCTGAATGGGGTTACTTGGAGAAGTAAATTAGATTATACATGCATGTCTTCTGGCAAATAGTGGGAATTTGAACTGTGTCATTATTTTTAGCAATAACAATTGTAGCTAACAAAGGTTAACTCCAACCTTCTCCATCTCCCAGGTTTAGAAAGGGGTGTCATGACAAACCAAGCAATGGAATGGAATCCTTCACAAGAGACTGAAAGTCCCACCCATCACAGATTGAGTTCTGCCTAGCACCCAATCAGCAATCGTTCACTGAATGCTGACTTTCCAATCATGCTGAAACGCTAACGTCAGGAAACTACATTTCTATGCAGTTCTGGGTGGCTGGGCCCTCACCACTGAAGAGACATACCAATGAGCCTCATGAGGGCATACGGCTGGTAGCCGAAGTTTAAGACTGGAATCCCAGCCCAGGGATCTGTGTTCAAATTGGCCCTCAGTTGTGCAGAATCAACATGGCAGCAGGGACACAGCTATCCCTCGCTGACATAGATGATGGTAAAGCAATAGCATATTCAAGATGGAAAGAAAGATGTTAGGGATCATCTCACCCCATTCAGCTTTTACAGATGAGCAATGTAAGACATGGGAGGTGACAGGAAACCACTGTGCTCCATGACACAGCTCAAAGCTAGAGAGCGAATGGGTGAGAACTAGACCCAATGCCCACTGACTCGCAGCCTGAGGCTCTTTCCCCTCATATCCACACCCACGTTCCTTGAACAATGTCTGGCAGAATCCGTACCAAATAAATAATTGATTTGATAATTAATTGGTTTAGTTCTTTAAGCAATAGCAGGGGCACTTGACCTCTCCCAAGGCCAATCCTCAGACAGCTACCTGGCTGAAGAAAGGTGTGAGGAGTGGTGCAGATGAGGGTGGTGGGGAACTGAGGTCTCAGGGACATCACAAAAAAACCTAGGGTCTCCAGGCCACATGTGGGTGATGTTCCTCCAGGGCTGGTGGGGGCAGAATGAATGGTCTGTTCATAGCACATGGACTTTAGACGATGGTGGGCCTGTGTCTCATCCCTGCTTGAATCCCCCACTAACTGTAAGACCTTCTGATCCAGAAGGTGGGAGTGATGCTACAGACCTCACTGACCTGTCCCGGGAAGTACGTGCTCAGGGGCCCTAGGGCCATCTTAGATGTGCTCTTATACCAAGGAGGAGAGCCAGGGCAGACCCAAATTTCCAGGGACCTCATGAAAAAAGCAAACAAGTCATACTGTCACCGTGTTAGGAGATAGAGGATATCAACCAATGTTAACATCTTCATTTGGCAGTTCATTGACTGGCAAGAACTGTCACCATGTTCTTCACCAGAAGGGACCTGGTGGGCAAAAGGCACAGGCATGTGGATGTCTTTCTAATGCCAGAGTCACTATGCTATCCTGGATTTCGACAAGTGAAGGTCTTAATCAGGTCAGCCTCACCTATGACCTTTCAGGATCTATGTGATGTCAATACAACAAACAGAGAGTAGGTGTGCACCAGCAGAACCTTCTCAGAGACCAACAAGGAGAGAGAAAGAGGCCAGCGGAATCCATGGGGCACACACCTGCAGAGCATTGACAAGCTGCTGGTCCTCTTGGCTTGTCAGGAACAAGGGTGTGATCCCTGCGTCTGAGAGCTTCAGCACAGCCTCTCTGAGCTCTGGGGATGCTCTTGTGGGCTTGTTGCTGAAGAAAACAGCCACTTTCCTCATCAAGAATCCATTCCGCACTCGCTTGAATGTGTTTCTGGCCACAAATGACATGGCGGTCTCCAGACTCTGCTGCTTGGAGGTCAGGGACACCTGAAGGTTCTTGATCTTGTCCAGGAGAATGGACTTCTTCTTGGAGTCAGCAAACCGAATCTCAGTGGTCACCTCGTCGTTATAGGTGACCACGGCCACACGGGCCCCCCGCGGGCAGTTGCTCTCAGCAATGGTCAAATCGCCCACAATCTTCGAAAGCACGTCTCTCATGCGGTTAAACCTGGCCTGGGTGATCCCCTCAGAGGTGTCTAGAGCAAAGGCTAGTTCTGTTGGGAAGACGGGGCATTCCAGGGGCCCTGTGGAAAGTGGGGGTTTTCAAAGGCACATGTGACTTACTGGAATAGAAGTCTCTCTTTACTCAGAAGAAAGTCAAACCACTGGAACCAACTTACCATAGCAGCAAGCTGTAAAAGAAACAAAGAGAAGGGTGAAAGGCATGCTCATCATGCAAGAACTCCAAATGGAAAAATGGAAATTAGTCCCAAACAACAGAAAATCAGGTACTCACGACACTTGTCTCTGATGCTTTGGACAAGGCCACATTGCTATAAAAGGAAACAAAAGAACACATTCAAGGAGAGTCAAGAAAAGGCCCAGAAAGCAACGATTCACTTTAGCCTTTAGCCATGTGCTAAACTTACGTCAATTGAGTCGCCTCTGTTACCTTTATGGCCCTGTAAAAGCAAGGAAGAAAGTCTGAGAAATGCGGCAAAAGGACCAGATGTGGAATCTCAAAGAACACTCTGTGGTTTCCAGAACCCGACAGAGGAAGTGGAGATGGACTTTGGCTAACCTTGATCATTTAGAACAGCTAACTCTCTTTAAAAATCTGACTTTACGGCTTGAAAAGCCAACGTGAAAAGACATTGAGAACAAAAATGTCTCCCCTGTGAGGTCACTTCGTTTTTGAAATAACTCCCAGCCCTGAGACCACCGATTCAAATCACACATTTGAGCCTGAGTCTGACGTCCCTTCTGAGAAGAGAGCTTCCTCCCAGTCATTTGCTTCCTACATGGTATTCAGAGAAGGGACAGTGAGGAGTCACTCAGCCAACCCTCACCTTCATGTCTAGAGCATCCTGGCTGGATGCTCCAGGGATAGATCCAGGCTGCCCTCAGCATCTAGTCGCAACCCATTGCCACCTTGATGGTCAAGAAATCACTCTGGGCAATGGGGTATCTTTCATGTGGCTATTTCTGCCTGTCTGATCTTCTACAACAAACTAGCTTAACCTGCCCCATTAAACGCTCACTCCCTGAAGGTAACTGGCAGAGCCACCTAACTCAGCCTTCTTCTGGATTCAACCAAACTGATCCCTCAAGCTCTCCTGCTAGGAGTGATTTTTTATGTCCTGAGTTACTTTTTCCATTCTTCTTTGAAGCTCATCAATTTCAATATTAAAAAAATAAAAAATAAAACTCGAGTCAGTTATGACCCATAGCAACCCCTCCTTGAGTTTCCAAGGCAGCATCTCTACAAAAGTAGATTGCTCAGTCTTCCTTCCAAGGAGTATTGGGCAATCTATTTCCATATTTCAATACGGGAGACAAAAACAAATTCGAATATTGAAACCAAGGCCTTGGTAACAGAGAAGATGGAAGGATGATGGAGGATAGACTCCTGTCTTCTGCTGGCAGGACCACCTGTGGTTTTCAAAGCATGAATCAGAAGCCCCCTTGGGGATTTTAGTAGCCAGAGGAAGTGTTTTCCAAGCCACAGTCTGACATAATTATATTACTTCTTCAACATATAAGCAAGAGGCATTTCCATTGGCTGTCTTTTCTTTCTCCTATATACAAGCCTATACCAGAAAACTCTAAAGGCAAAGTCATCCTAGACTACAGAGTTTCTACTACAATCCATACATCCTAGACTACAGAGTTTCTAAGGTTCAAAATTCCTTTCCTATTGTGGCATCAGAAGAGAGGTGTTTAAAGCAAACAAACAAGCAAAAATAGGAAAACAACAACATCACACTTTCTTTGCAAGGACAGGAGAGGGTGCAATGGTTTCTGGGACCATTTGGCTCCTGGTCCATGTGGAAGGTCATCCAGCCCCCCGGAGGCTCAACTGGAACTGGGTTGGTACTTACAGATGGTCCTGGGTAACCAGGGTCTCCCTTCTGTCCGACTGCCCCTGGAGGTCCAGAATCTCCCTAGAGGACAGAGCAAGCATTGCTAAATTGTGGCAGGCAACTCAAAATTCTCACCTCCTAAAGTTGGAAGGGATGGAAAAGGAATCCTAGTGTAACGTTGTCCATTGGCATGAGAAATCACTCACCTTCAAGGGGAGCTCAGTCAAGGCTCCCAAAACTCAAGAGCAACGACACACAACCCTAACAAAGCTGATGTTCGTCTCCCCAATCCCTCTGGCAGATTAGAGTACAACAGATGCTTGCGCGAGAACCACTAAGATCATCTGTGGGTGCACAGGAGACTCGCTAACTGGCAGCCACTTGGACCGATAACCAATCTAATGTTCTAACACTCTTCTTCAAGGAGTACATGATCCAGACTGATGGCTGCGCTGATCAAGTGAAGAGGATAACTATGAAGGGTTTTCTTCTTTCTTAAATGCCATCTTAGGCTCCAAATAACTACTAGCAACTTTAACCTGTATCTAGACCACAATTTGCTAATTTAAGACTCAGTGCAACCCTGGAAGGATGAGTAAACACCCACTGGAGAGATGAGCCCGGAACCAACCGTGGCTTCCGGAAGAGGAGTCTTATCAGGCTGGGAGGACGGGCAGCAGCCTGGTTGAGTGGGCCTAGCACACTCATGAGCAGCTTGTTGTTGTTGTTAGGTGTTGTCGAGTCGGACTCGACCCATAGCGACCCCTCCTCGGGTTTCTGAGGCAGTGTCACTACAGAAGTAGATTGTCCCATCTTCCTTCCGAGGAGTGGCTGGTGGGTTTGAACCGCCAGCCTTCTGGTTAGTAGTCAAGTGCCTTAGGCCCTAAGCTACCAGAGCGCCTATGAGCAGCTTAAGGACCTTGTTAAATCCTGTTGCCTCAGGTCTGATAGGCACGGCCATTGTCCCTGCACAGACTTCCAGCGTCACCCACTCTGAGCCTTGGGCCTCTCCGGCGCCATGCTGGGGGTGAGCCTTGGGTACTGACTCTTGAGGTTTGTTGGAGGAAGGGGGCTCTTGGGGCCTCCCTATGAGGGAAACATGGCTTCGGGAAGACACCTGTAGACCACAATCAAGGGGCTTTGAGTTCATTGATCTGGGGCTTAGGATTTCTTTTCCCACCCAGACTATCGCTGGTCAAGTTGTAGGGGAAGAAGGACGAGGTTCTAAGACACACTGGAGGCTCTCAGTGCTTAATCATGCTGCTTCTCACGTCCCCACGCCCCATCTGATGCCAAGAGCCAGCAGACTTACCCTTCGGCCTCGGAGCCCCTTGGGTCCTGGTGTTCCATCTGCCCCAGGCTCACCAGAGGTGCCCTGGGAAGAGAGGCAAGGAGGGTGCATGACACTTAGGCATGGGAAGGTCTAGTGGAGGGTCTTGGGTGGCCCCTCTGTGGGGCACCTGGGCCTCCTTTCCCAGGGCTTCCAATGGTCAACTTTGATTCACTTTCACACTGAGTTACTAGTGCATCTGGTGTCATGGGCAGACCTAGCCTCAGTCTGTTGGTGTTGTGAGCTGCTGTCAAGTCAGCCTCTGACTCATGGCAACCCCATGCACAATGGGATCAGAGCACTGTGACCCCTAGGGTTGGCACTGGTTAATCATCATGAGTGCATAACCAGGTCTTATTTCCTAGTTGCCCCAGTCTGGAAGCGCCACTGAAACCTGTTCAGTGACACACAAGCCTCCCCTGGCCGACGAGTGATGGCTGTGTGTGAGGTACACTGGCCAGGAACTGAACCCGCCTCTCCAGTGTGGAAGGCAGGAATTCCACCACTGAGCCACCACTGCTCTCCAGCCCTACTTTTCTTAATAATAATATCACATCAATTCTAGCATTTCACCCTTACAGAGTACTTTTATTATGGTTGTATTTAATTCTATTCTCACAAACGCCAAGACAAGGATGCAACATCATCACCATTTGCTAGAGGAGGAAGCTGTGTCTCAAAGTGGGCAGGCTCCCTTCCAAGGTCAGCTTGTGTTTGTAAGTGGCAAAGCCAAGAGCCGACATATTTGATTTTCATTCCATGGACACAGCAGACGTATGCTAAAACAACGGCACACTCACCTTTGGTCCTGGGTATCCGGGAAATCCTCTTTCTCCCTATAAAAGAGAAATGATGACTCACTATGTGGTTTCCATCTAAATTTGCCTAAATAAACTGATCTTAAGAAGAAACATGCATCTGTAGGGTCATGAAGAGGGAGAAACAAGACACTGAAGCATGACTGATGCAGGGAAACAGTCCTTTAAAAATACAACGTGTCAAAAACTGTCCTCGGACCTCCTGGCACCAGGGGCTCCCTGAGAACGCCCCACAGATACCTACTTTCTTGCCTTTGCGTCCTTCGCTGCCCACTCCATCACGTCCGTCATCTCCCTAAGAGGGGAAACAACATTACTTTGGGCCACCGTGTTGAGGCCACAGGCCATCTGAGCAGAAGGGCCGTGGGTCCCTTACATGGTCTGCTTGAGGGCCAGAAGCAGGGGTGCTTCCTGTTCCGACCTGTCCCCCAGGGGGAAGCAGGAAAGCAGGACCGGGTCCCTTAGCACACGGTGCTGGTGGGCTCAAAACACAGAGAAACTGCTAGCAACTTTTGCGAAAGATGCTGTTTGGATGAAGAATCAAAGATCCAGAGAGCAGATCATCTTAGAGTTGAAAGAACTCATTAAGAGCACCTTGACCCTGGGCGTCTTCGGGGTCTTTGGTTCTGCTTCAGACAGGAACATCCTGACCCCCCTCCCCGTGCCCTTCCAGGTGCAGGGCTCTAGACTGCCCTCCTTCTCCAACACCCCCTCCCCATACTCGGAAACCTCTCCCTACCACACTCTCTCAAAGGGGCATCCCGAATTGGACATCGATTGTGATATCAAAAACACCAGAAGAATTCATGTTGAGTATACATTAATATCAACAAAACATGATGGAATATGTTTCTTAGTTAATTGACCAGTCTTCTTTTCTTTTAAATTTATCTTATTTGGTTGTTGTTGTTGAGAATACACATAGCAGAACATAACCAACTCAAAAATAATTGAACAATAATAATTTTAAAAGAATATCATGTTTTAAAAATCCTTTCAGCTGTTGCCCCGAGGAAGTGGTCTCTTTAATGATTTAGACAAGTTTTAAAGTCTGACTTTCCCCCTCTGCTTCTTTGTAAGTGGCAAGGCCAAGGCCAGAGCCAACCTACTCTGGTTTCCTTTCCATAGATACACAAGACCTATGTTAGAACAATGGTAATCTTCTACAACTAGGGAGCTCTGGTGGTCCAGTGGCTGCTAACCAAAAGGTTGCCAATTTCAACTTGCCAGCTGCTCTGTGGGAGAAAGAAATGGCAGTCTGCTTCTGCAGAAGTTGACAGCCTTGGA